GTGATACCTTTGGATTTTGCATGATTCTACTTACCATACCTACATTGTATGCTAAGTCAGGCCTTGTGTGAAAAAGGTATCGAAGTGATCCAATAAGTCTTCTATATTGGGTTGGGTCGACATCATCTTCATTTGAATCTTTCGGCAGTTGTAATCTGGTCTCAGATGTAGTCGAAGTTGGGTTGCAATCTTGCATCTCAAATCTATTGAGTATTTCGCCTGCATATCTTCTTTGGTGCATCATCAAACCTTTACCACTCTTATAGAATTCGATGCCAAGGAAGTATGAGAGATTTTCCAAGTATGACATTTCAAACTCCCCACTTAGGTCATGTTTGAAATCTTCGATATCATTCTTGCAACTTCATGTTATCAATAGGTCATCGACATAGAGACATAGTATAAACAATTCACTATTGCTTCTCGTTACATATACTCCATTCTCATTTGTGAACTTTACAAATTCCTTCTCCCTTAGAAAGCTATCGATCTTCTTATTCCAAGCTCTTTGAGGCTTTATGCAGCCTGTACACCTTTCTTTACTCGCCTTGTTTCATAAACCCAGCTGGTTGTGCAACATAAACTTCTTCGTCTAATGGGACATTTAGGAATGCACATTTCACATACATCTAACATGTATGCCAATTATTCATGTTTTCTAGACCAATAATCAACCTGATTGTTTCGATCCTAGCAACAAGTGCAAAAACTTCGTCGAAGTCGATTCCTTCCTTTTGAAGAAATCCTATCGCCACAAGTCTCGTCTTGTGTCGAGTTACTTCTCCTTTAGGATTCACCTTCACCTTATAAAGCCATTTCACATCGATTGCCTTCTTTCCTTGAGGCATTTCGACAAGTGACCAAGTATTGTTGACTTCGATGGACTCAAGTTCCTCATTCATTGCTTTCACCCACTTTGAATCTTTCAATGCCTTAGCTGCATTGACTGGTTTAACATATGCGTAAAAAGCATAGTGTACCAGCTCACTTTCTTCATCAATCACATCATCTGATGTATTCACACATTCTTGCAACCTTACATGCATGTGTCTTGTTCGTTGAGGTCTGCTTGAGCCTGCTTCACCTCTGACTTCTTCTTGTCGAGCTTCTCTTTCAAATTCACTAGTTGGTTCTTCATATGATATTGTCACTAAATCCTTCTTGACATTCTCAGTTCAATCTCATTCTTTAAGCTCATCTATGATCATGTTCCTGCTGATCAAAAACTTACTTATTCACTGGGTTAAACAACTTGTATCCTTCATTCAAATGATAACCTATAAGGATCATTTGGCTCGACTTATCCTCAAGTTTTCTTTCAATTGATCTGGCACATGTCTATGTGCTATAGATCCAAACACTTTCAAATGACTTAGGCTAGGCTTGACACCAGACCAACATTCTTCTGGCGTGATTCCTTCTAGATTCTTCTTCGAACATCTATTCAAGATGTATGTTGCAGTCGACACAGCTTCTCCCCATAATTCTTTGGGTAGATGCTTGCCTTTCAACATACTTCTTACCATATTCATGATGATTATATTCTTTCTTTCTACAGCTTCATTCTGTTGTGGAGTGAAGGGTGGCACCACCTCATGCACAATCCCTTTTTCTCACATAATGCATCGAAATCTTTTGACACATACTCTCCACCACCATCAGTCCTCATAATCTTTAGCTTTCAACCACTTTGACTTATGACCATAGATTTGAATTTGGTAAATACTTCGATCACTTCACTTTTCTTCTCTATCAAGTAAGTCCACGAATTTCGACTAAACTCATCTATGAATGTGACAAAGTATCAGTTACCTCCAATCGAATCCACTTGGATAGGACCACATACATCGGAGTATATGACTTTAAGAATTGCCTTTGACTTGCTTCTTACATCCTTGCTAAACCTATTCTGGTGTTGTTTTACCTGAACACATTTTTCACACACTTCGCTTGGAATATCGATTTCTGGTAATCCTAAAACCATATTTCTTCTCTTCAAATATCGGATGCCTTTGAAATTGAGATGGCCAAGTCGATAATTACATATCCATTCATCTCTATTGGCTGCAGTTGTAAGACACTTATGCTCCACCACATTAGGTTTAATCTTAAAAGTTCTATTCTGAGACATAGAAGCCTTCAAGATTAACCTTCCTCCTGAGTCGAGAACTCTCATCATCTTGTCTTTGGTCGACACTTTGTAGTTCTTTACGATCAATTATCCTATACTGAGCAAATTAAACTTCATGCCTGGTGTGTATAACACATTGGAAATTACTGACCTCTTGCCATCTTTCCTCATAATTAGAACATCATTAATACCTTCAGCTGCTAGAGTATTGTCATTTGTAAATTTCACCATATTCTTCATTGAGGGGTTCATGTTGATGCACTAATATGTCCTACCAGTCATGTGTGATGAGCATCATGAGTCCAAGTACCATTAGTTCTGGAGTCTTTTTTCATCTCTTGTTGTGAGTTGTGACCATCAGCAACATCTCTTCTTCTTCATGTTTCGCTAGCTTTGCATCAGTTTCTTGATTCTTCTTCTTTTCTCGACACTCACTAAAATAGTGATTATACTTCTGATAATTGTAACACTGGATGTGACTTTTGTCAGGTTTTTGACCACCCCCTCTTCCTCTATCTGCAGTACCACCTCTTGGGTTACCTTGGTTCCAAGGTTTTTCTCCGATTCGACCAGTTTCCTTCCTGCTGATTTCGACCAGTCGAATTGTTATAGCCTCTTCTGCCTTTGTTGTCATTCCAATTTCCTTTGCCTTTCTTTTCTTTTTCTGACTGCGTCTGCAAAGCCATATCATCTTTGAATTTCTTGCAGCTCTTTCAGCCATCCTTTGTTCATGAGACTCAAGCGTCCCTTGAAGCTCTTCCTTCGTCAATATTGACAAGTCTTTTAACTCTTCTATGGCTACTATCACATGGTCGAACTTTAGAGCCAATGACCTCAAAATCTTTGCAACAATTGATCTTGATGTCAACACTTTTTCATATACCTTGATTTGATTCACCAGTTTAGTAACCATAGTGAAGAAATCAGTGTTTTCACTTTCTTCCACTTGAAGCAATTCATACATCCTTTTATGAATTTGTAACCTCACCTATTTCACCTTCTCTGCGCCTCCAAACGATTTCTCCAAAATTTTCCATGCTTCTTTCGTTGATTCTACATCACTAACATTTTCAAAGTTACCCGGATCAACACATTGATGGATTATAAAGAGAGCGTTATAATCTTTCTTCTTTAATTCTTTATATGCATCCTTTTCTTGATTCATCACATTTTCTGCAAGCGGTGTTACTCCTCCCTTCACAAGATCCCAAAGATCTTGATAACAGAAAACCATATTTATCTGCTTGCACTAATTCTCAAAATTATTGTTCTTGAGAATTGGAAGGTTCGTCGGGAAAATGCCTGTTTGGATGATTCAGCGCCATCGTGATTTTCTTTCCTCGAATCACAACCGGAGCTCTAGATACCAGATGTTGGAATTAACCCAAAACCTTTTGAAAATTCCTAATCAATCTTGATCTCAAGAAAGATTATGCGCAACAACTTTAATGAAAACGAGAAAGAAAGAAAGAAAGAGTTTAACAAAATCAAAGGAAAAAAATGAATTTTTAACTCTGGAAACCTTCTTTATTCACTTTGCAAGTGCAAAAACTGTGAATTCTAGTTATTACAAATAGGGTTACTTCCTCTCTTTATAATAGAGAAAGCCCAAAATTACAAAAGTTCAAATTTATTAATTTTGGTTCAAGTCGAAATTTTGTGTCAAGCAACCTGCTTCGACACTTCGACATCCAAGCAACTCGACACACACACACATTAGGCTAATTCGACTAGACCTTATTTCTGTCGAGCTACACTACTTCAACACAAAGAATTACAAACTCAACATTTATTTTGTAATGTAAGTTATTTAGCATAGTGATAAAGACGCTTCCTTTTGACTCAAAGATCAATGGTTCAAACTCTTAGTATTTACATTTAAAAAAATAAAAAATAAAAATTCTTTTTATTGTGGCCCATTTTTAAAATTGGATTAGAATCTCTAAATCTTCGAAACCAACCCTGATCAATAAAAATATACGACTTGACCACTCACACATGAATTTCATCTATATTATTTAATTTTAATAATTTTTATGCACTTTTAAGTATTCACTTTTATGTTTCTTACACTATCATCTTCAAAATTTAAATTTTAAAACATTCAACTTAAAATCTTAAAAATCACATTCAAGTCTTGTATTAATAATCGAATTTATATTTTAAAATTGATAAATTTTATTCATTGTAAAGAAAAAAAACTTAAACAACTTTACTTTAAAATAGCCATATATAGAATAGTCTATTTAAATAAGTCTAATTAGTAGCTATACAAAACGACCTACAGTTTTACTTAAAAATAAATAAATATAGAATAGTCTTTTTTTAATCAGTCATATTAGTAGCTATACGAGTTGTGAGTTTAAATATATAACATTCAACTCATTCATGATGGAATTTCATTCACTAAATTATTTGGAAAAATATAGAGAAAGTATAAATATAATGAAAGTAATACTCCTGTCATATTTCTTCAACTATAAAATTCTTTTATATGTTGAACAGTGAGTGACCATTCCTCGAGATAAGTGGATTCCTTCAAAATTTTCCTACTTTTTTTCAACTCTCTCACTCTCTTTCTCACTCACACACCGTTTCCTCTTTTCCTTTTTCTCATTATTAATTACAGGATTTTCTCTTTACCATCATTAGCACAAAGAGCATGTAGTAATATACTAATACTAGTACTATTTTTCTTAAGAAAAAAAAAATCCTGTTTCTTTTCACACTCAACCACATTCATCAATCATTGATATTTTCTCCCATGCTTATTAATTCTCCTTACTCAATACTCTCCAACACTTTTTGAAAAACCACCCAAACCATGACACTCTAACCTGAGTTACTCGTGTTGAAAATTTCATCAACAATGTTTCAACCAAAAACAATCTGCATTTTGGTAACTATCATTGTTCTGAGTTCCTTTTCACCACTTGGATTAGCAATGCTGAACTTAACTCTCCCTGGAACTCACCCTGACCCTGAGGCTGTTGCTCATGAAGTTCACAGGTACTCACCTCTCTCATGTTTCATAGTCAGGACTGTCTTAAGTTTTTGGAGATCTTGTGTAGGTTAGTTACGATTCAACTATGAAAAAATTTAAAGCTCTGTGCGATAGCCTGTCTTGCTAGATCTAAACATGAAGTCCTTTTCCATTTTGTTTTACTGTGTTTAGGAAGGTGAATGCATCAATGGCAAGAAGACAAACACTATCATCCGGATCTGCATGCACGACAGGAAACCCTATCGACGACTGTTGGAAATGCGATCCAGAATGGCCAAACAATCGCCAAAGGTTAGCAGATTGTGTAATCGGGTTCGGTCAGTATGCGAAAGGAGGAAAAGGTGGTGAATACTACGTTGTAACGGATTCATCAGACGATGATCCCGTTACACCAAAACCTGGTACATTAAGATACGCCGTTATAAAAAACGAACCGTTATGGATCGTGTTTCCTAGTAACATGATGATTAAGCTGAAGCAAGAGTTGATTTTTAATAGCTATAAAACAATTGATGGACGTGGTGCTGATGTTCATATTGTTGGAGGAGGGTGCATTACTTTGCAGTTTATTAGTAATGTTATTATACATAACATTCATATTCATCATTGTCATCCATCAGGTAATTTTTTATTGTTTTGATTTGAATTTGAAAGACGAAATAGAACTTCATTGTGCACATGTTTTGGTTGGGAAAATGGAAAGTTTTGTTTGTTTTGTGGAGTTTTTGGATAGAGTGTTGGAAAATATTTTTATTGTTTTGAAATTATAAATTACGCCGCGCGGAATATTAGTCATTATGTGGGGTCTGTTTTGTACCATCTCATAAATCAAGCATTGACTACTACTAAAACATTTCTCAAATGTCTCAAAAGTCTCTTCTGAATCATATGACTATTTTTTAGTGTAATCAAATTATAACATGCTTTAAGTATAAGTTATGGTGTAATCAATTTATAACTTTTTTTGGTCTAAATAAATTTATTTTGGACATTCATTATTTTCCCTAGTTTTAACAATTGTGACTCTGATAAAAGAGAGATACGGAGAAAAAGAGAGTGGGGGATAGAAAAAAGATATAAACAATGAGTGTTAAGATAGAAAAAGCTGAAAGATAAAGATAAAAATAACAAAATCTAAAAAAAAGCTGTAAGAAGAGGGGAAGTGATTTCAAAAACAAAAAAGTAATTGTTGAAAAAGCTGTCTAGCCACTTGTAAAAGTACCAAGACGAATAAAAAAAATAACAAATTACTAGAAAGAACAACCATTTTATTTCATATACCACTCTGCATTATCAATAAATTGTGTAGAACATGGAAATTGTTTTATGTATTATTACATGTTAGAAATCATGTAATCATGGTCATAAGTTTGAGGAAATTACAGTGCTACCATGATTTTGTTGGAATTTCATATAGTTTTTGTGGTATATTGCAGGAAACACAAACGTAAGATCTAGTCCAGAACACTATGGTTACAGAACATTATCAGACGGAGACGGAATCTCCATATTCGGTTCAAAAGACATATGGATCGACCACTGCACACTCTCACATTGCAAAGACGGACTAATCGACGCGATAATGGGATCAACCGGAATAACAATATCCAACAACTTCATGTCACACCACAACGAAGTCATGCTTCTCGGCCACAGCGACGACTACCTCCCCGACTCCGGAATGCAAGTCACAATCGCATTCAACCATTTTGGGGAGGAGCTTGTTCAGAGGATGCCGCGTTGTAGAAGAGGCTACATCCATGTCGTCAACAACGATTTCACTCAATGGGAAATGTATGCCATTGGTGGAAGTGGCGAACCGACTATTAACAGTCAGGGAAATCGTTATGTTGCTCCGGTTAATCTTTTCGCTAAAGAGGTTACTAAGAGAGTTGAAACAGAACAGAATAAGTGGAAAGGATGGAATTGGAGATCTGAAGGTGATGTTATGGTTAATGGTGCTTTCTTTGTTACATCTGGCGAGAGTCTTGAGGTTAAGTATGAGAAAGCTTTTAGTGTTGAACCTCAATCTGCTGATAGGATTGTTTTTCTTACCATGAATGCTGGTGTTCTTGGTAATGCAAGGTACCAACCAATGCTTAACTCATTATTACCTGTGTTATATTTTTCGCATCAGATAGATTCATGTTATGATACTCTACTATGTGTTGAAATGAGTTTTGAGTGATTGAAGTGTGTTGTGATGAATGAGCAGGGACAATAACGTGGGAATGTGGAGTAGAGGACCAAGCAGCAACGACGAGGGTGTCTCAGATTCTGGCCCGGATTACACAGATGATATGTCGGGCAGTGCACTAGTGGTGTTATCGTCTTCTTTTACTATGTTGTGCTTCTTGTTGTCTTACAGAGTGATTCTGTTAACAGTTATTCTATAACAATTCACGAATGTTGTTGAGCATGTAATGAGACACTCTATCTGTATTTCTCTAAATTGGAATGAAAAGAATCTGCTACTCTTCAAAAGTACTATCATTTAAGCTCTAGAATTTGGATCTCAAAAGTACTACCATTTATTTTAAGCTAATTCAATACAAACAATTTTATGAGGGGTGTGTGCAACAAGAAGAAAATGCTCAAGTTAGAAGAGTTTTTCAATTTAAGTAAGTTTTATGATTAGTTATTAAAAATGTCTCAATTTATAGACTTTTATGAATAAGTTAAATAAGTGATTAAAAAAGTGGTATTAAAATTTTATGAACAAGTTAAATAAGTGATTAAATAAGAGGTACTAAAAGAAATGGGGGAGGAAGGAGTTCAGGAAAAACTGTCTTAGATTGCTCTCTTGGTAAAATGTAAGTACTAAGACTGGTTACAAAACGAGCCGAATCTTAATCTTTAATAAAGCCGCCTATCAGCGATCTATGAATGATTTGTTCATAAGTTCCACAGCATCATCCAAGAACTGCATGCACAAAAATAACTAAATTAATCAGGAAAATTCATTTCATACTTAGAATTGCATGTCTGAACTGCAGATAATAATATGGCCATTAATATCAAAAGATGAACATGCTAATAATATAACTACAATAATTTCAAATCCAAATCCAAACAACTGTGATAATTAAGATAACTCAAGAAATTATTCATTGATTTTCAGTTCACTTGGTTCAACAAACGCGTTAACAACAGACTTGAACCATCTCTAAGCATTTCAAGAAAAATACATTGCACACTAAATTTCTACAATAAAAGTATAGGTTTATGAGCAAAGCATATAGCAAAGTGTGTAAGACACAATGGTAAAAGACATATGAATCTGGCCTTTAACAACATCATGATTTATAGCATACTAGAACTTCAAATTCATTTTGCTACATACAACATTGTTGGTTTTCATTCAAGGTAAACATGATAGTTTTAGATGATATGCAGCACAACATCTGTTCCAATGCAATGATAATGATTGGCAAGGAGCGGACCAAATTATTATCATCTCCACTTCCATAAGCATAAAGGTGTGTGCCTACAAATAATGTTGGCTGTTTTTGGTCCTCTGATTCTCTAAGCAAGTTAATGTGCAAATATGTTGGGTTTTAATGCAGAATTGGAAGAACGTACGTAAGTAACTCTGTATTAGAGTATTCTATTCCACAATTCAGCAATATCAAATGCAATGAACTCATTATGCATGGTAAGAAATGTCAATATCCCCCTTTATGTAGGGAAGTATAAACGGGACTTTACCTTCCCAAGCGCCTTAAGTTCTCGTCCGACGGGTTCCAAAAATTTCAAGTCAACTTCGATAGGCCAGACCTGTAGAAATAAGAAGCCGAAAGATAAATATTAGAGAAAACCAAAACATAAACTACAAATGGAAAACATGAAAACACATGATAATAGAAGGAAAAAAGATCAACATTCATGAATATAGATCACTTTTGAAGTACAAAACAGGACAAACATCCTTTGCTGAAAAAAAGATCACCCATTTCATATGACGTACGCAAAGTTTGACGTGGCAAGAAAACTTGGACAATAAGTTGTTTCATTGTAACTATTAACAATTTTTTAAACTAAATAGATCCATGTTTTAACTTGATGCCATTTATATTGGGGTTGCATCACATGAGGTCGGTACTTAGCACCATTTCGGCTGCTCAATTAATCGGGAAAAAGTGGCTTAACCATAAACACAAGAGCACAACATCAACTCAAACATAGCGTTAATCTTGTTGATGTCTCCTTAAAAGAACAATGAATTTCAGCCAAGTGTTACCAAACATTAACATCAACAATTGGTTCCAGATTCCATCATAACAACTCTTCAACAAAAATAAATATACCCAAACAGAAAGCACAATACACAAATTATGATAGAAAAGTTGAAAGAAGAAGGAAAAAGTACCTTGAGACCAAGTACTTTAATGGGAGCACTTTGACCAGGCACTATGCATTCAGGACCAGCTGCTTCCACTATAGCTACATCACCCAAACCATTCCCTATAGGGTTTGGATGCTGTAAAAACCCCAAAAAAAATTGAAAAACAAAAAAGTTGGTTTATGACGAAAGATTACGAAACGCAACGAAAAAGAAATAGAGTGAGAGAAAGAGAGAAACCCTCATGATAGAAATTGCATAATCGGATAGAGGTGTGTGAGAAACGCGAAGAATGGGAGAGTGGTGAATTTTGGGTAGTGGTTTTAGTGAAGATGATGAAGCTCTCCATGGCACATCGTCTTGGAAGGGAGTGTTCTTCGACATTATCTATTTTTCTACACACTTCTCATCCAACACATCATAGATGAAGTGAGAGTGGGTGAAGCTATCTTCTTCGACATAAGTTTTGGGCTTTCGCTTTTACTTTTCTTACCCCCTCAATTTTTTAAAGTCTTCGCTACACTTCATATAGTGTTCATTAATCTTATGGAAATTCAAATTCAAACATTCCCTTACGTGTTCATTAATCGTACAAATTTTCAAATTGCTTACAAAATACAAATAAAAATAAAACAACTATTAGGAATATCTAACACATGTTATTCCTTTGTATCCTATACTACGATATATGATGTGCCTCTGTTAAGATTTTTAGTCAATTAAAATGTGTTCATGCATGTACTCTTACCCTTAAATGTCTCAAATTCATATCAAATCTTATTAAGACAAGACAAATTGTACATTTATATTGGATGTGTCCTAATGTAGCATAATTATAACCTATTAAGGAATTGCATGTATCACAAATAAAAAAAAGGAAGGATATAAGAATTTTACCAAATGTGAGAGATGTTTTTCCTTAGCTTGAATGGAGAGGAGTAGAAATTGATGATGATTTTAGGTTTGAACATACATTAGTAGAACTTAAGAAAAAGATTGGAATAATGTGAGACATGAGAACTATGCTACATTGGGTTTTTTGTTTCAAATGGAATGGAAAAAATAGGGAAATACAGAGTGTGAATCCTTAAATAAAAGTGTCTGAGTTTTGAAATCATAAGTTTAATTCGATGCTTGAAATCCAACTTTAATGGCTATAACATCTTGCCCACTACATATCCTTAGTCGCATGTTTTCTTGATCGAGCATCCATTTTTTATATTAATCGCCCTATGCTCGAGCACATCGCTCACTCTTCGGCAACCCGCCCAAAACGTGCAATCATAGGAGGTGACGTAACCTTATTCCATAACACTAAAAAAGAAGTCTTACAGAAGTTAATCACGCTCTCGTGAATAAAAAATGATTAACTATCCAATCTCACATTCTCTCAAAGGTGGTTGTTATTTTCAAAGTGACTAGGATCCATGCCCAACACAACTATAAATATCTCAACCTTGAAGTTGAAAGGAGCTATTTCATATTCACACAAAAATACTATATACACTGAGATTTTCACTTTTCTACGTGATTTAGCTTTAAACTTCACAACAAACCCAAAATTGGTCAATCGAAGGGTTGACGATCAACCATCGTCATGACGATCATCATGACAACCTGTCACCCTTACCACACACAAACTTGTCATCCTTTTGACGCTCGGGCAAGAATCCAGTCTTAAAGACTGTGATGGTCTCTCCATCATCACGTTGACGCCCGTCAACTTTCCCGTTTGCAGTGACAGGTTGTCTGTCACCCAGGTGACGCCTGTGACTGTTGTGTAGAAGGAAGAATTGTATTTTCCACCATGGGAGCACTTCCAAAGCTCTGATTTCAACCAACAACCACTCAAATCAAACAGAAAAATATCATACATATTTATTCAATGTTTAATACATCATTTGTATACATATTAACCATTTATTCAACAAATTCTCACTAAATCAATTCACATGTTTATCATATTAGGCATAGTAACATGAATAATCATCATTCGGATTTTTCACATACAAATCATACATGAATTTCACAATAAATTAGAGCACGAATTAACATCAATAAAAGAAATTAGGAGAAAAATTGTGCATAAATCTTTTCCACATCAATGAAGAAAAATACAAACACAACAAGGAAGAGGGTGAGGATCCCTCACCATCCCTTATGAAATATATACCCAATAGTGAATAATTCTCCCCCCCCCCCCCCCCCCCTCTCACCGCCTGAATTTTGCAGCAAAAGGTTGAATTTTCAGCAATGGTAGTTCTTCCATCTACGTTTGTTATCTTGCCTATACAACTCCTCTCTTCCTAAATTTCATGTACTGCATAAACCTACTTTTCTCCTTTTTATTTTAAACAAAAACTTGATATTATCTTTTATTTTTTTTCTAATTCTCCCCCTCTGCTTAATTTATTTTTCTATCCCTCCCCCACCCACCATTCACTATTTCATTATTTTATCCAACTTTCTATTATTTTAATTAATCCAAAAATAGTGATAAATGATATAAACTCTACCCAACCTCATATAACCCCACAAAAATGCACATAGCACTTATATAAACATATTTAACTCAATAAAATAAATTATTTAAAAACTGGGGTGTTACACTCCACCCCCAATACTCATACCAATATTGGAACACCCAATACAAACCAACTTTACCAGGTGTCGTTGGGGTTGGGATGGAGCGGTTCTCAAATAGTTTAATACTTCCACTTCAAATTCGTCGAAAGGGGGTCTGAACCCCAATTGAAAAATAGATATATTCATATAGAGGCGTCGAACACCCATCGAATGAGTTACACACCCTCTTGATGGGGTGAGATGTGAGAAACGAACTAGTTAAAAGGTGGTCCCGCATCCAAATGAGTGTCCTCTAAACTTTGAGCATTGTTGAAGACATAAGTCATCCCCCTAATTCTACTTTCACCTAAATGTGTCGAGTTGCATCAGATGACAATTCAAGACCTTATTAGTCCTTTTGAACCATGTCTGCCTCCACAGTCAACCAAAAGATAATGGTCATAAATAATTGGATGACCTCGGATGTTTAGATGCTCCCTAACTTCTTTACTGTTGGATTCTCATCCATTCAAACATCTAAAAGCTTTAATGTTAGTGCGGGCCTAGGGAACATCCAAGTACGCCTCAGTGGGTCCAATATCTACCACGAGCTTCATAGAAGAAAAGGGATTGGGTATGACTTCTCTGATAATGGGACGATCTAGACTAACCCTTCTAACTTCTTTTGTGAAATAGTATGTGTTTCCCACAGACAGCGGACTCAAGGGTTTGCTACCATCTTAGATGGAACCCCTTAGATTCAGAGTTATCTCTAAGAACAATAAGGTTTGCAAGGGGTTTGGCGAAGACTAAAGGAGCAACATTTAAGATTTCTAGATTTACTACCCTAGTGTGAGGTGAAGTGTCACTTATATTATCATAAATATTTTTCTTTACAATGTTTTCAAGTTCATCTCCTACGCTGGTCATTGCTAAAAGAAATAGCAGAAAGCAACAATAGTAAACAAGAGGGAGAGAAATGATCCTACAAAAAACTGAAAGTATGAGAAGAAAGTTATAATAAAGGGTCACTCTAAAGCGCAAATATCCAAGGATGTTGTAAAATTCAAAAGGAGAAACAGGCAGACAAAGTAATACACCACTGCAACCTAGAAAGAAATAATCAGAGTTGGCAAGAAGAAAAAAGACAGATTGCACAAAGAAGAGAAATACAATTTGAGAGGAGAAATAATATTTATATAGTAGCATAAGGTAAATAAATCGATGACCCATAATGAAGGAAGATAGGTAGACGAAAATCAACGATTTGTTTCACCTCGAGATCATAACGACATTTAAGTTCAATTGAGGACCCTAAAGGGGAACACCTATCTTATTCTAGGGACCTAGAGCCACGTGTAAAAACGACCCTACGAAGACGGTTCATTGACAATACTAACATTTAAAGCACTCAAATCTCAATTTGTCACTCATTCCACCTCCCACAAATGCTTTCCACTTCTACAAGCAAAGAACCTAGGTGAAGACCCGATGTTTTGAAAATTTTCCATTGTTGTGCTCAAGCAAGCCTTTGGGGCAACTGTTATGGGTCGGTCGTTGGCCTAATGACAAATATGCCCAATTAGTTATCCAAAGGCGTATCTACAAAAGGGTTGAGGATTCATTGCACCTAAAGTTATTGGATTAACTCCACATGTGGCTACCCATCGTTAAATATGATCTAACATGCCCCTGTGTTCCACGACAAGAAACGTGAGGTGGTTCTAACTGTCTCTCATATATAATGTATCCACGATAGATCTATAGGAATATTTTAGCTATAATTTTGCTCCATTGCTTGAATTTATTGACAGATTTAAACAATGAAGTGTTAATCTTACAGGTCTCGCTCCGTTCCGCTGCATCAGAGAGCAATCCCTACAACGCAAGTTGGTTTCATGATCTCCTCATATTCATCATTTTTGGTTTCTTGAATGCATTTTCTTGAGTTCTCTCTACTTCTTTTCAATCTCTCTTTTCATAATCTCCATGTTTTTTATTTCCATGTGCTATTTTTTTTATAAGCATTTTCATACGTTGTCTTTAGATACACTGTTATCTTTTGGGGTCTATGATTTCATATGGTCAAAAATTGATGCATTAAAGTACTTCCAATGGTTGGATTGAAATTTGAATGATCTCGATTCGGCAATTACTATTATCATGAATACATTAGAAAACAATTGTAGGGAATTTGATTTGCACATTGTTTGTGTTTGAGTAAAGAATTTATCTCGCTGAAACACACAAGAGTGCGGAAAACTTCATGTCTGACTGAATGACCAAACCATTTTTAATCTCATTAATTTTCAATCTATATATCTCTCATTCATTTTCAAGCCAAATACACCATGAGTTATGAAAAAGGTAAGCATAGATGGTAAGGTTAACAAATTCCATATCTGTACGGAAAAAATACAAGAATTTTACAAAACATTCTTAACCTGAAGACATTGCTAATGACGTCCAATACATTTTTATCTTACAATAATCATTGCTTTCTTTAACTTTCTGATTATCCAACTGAGAAAATGGAGAGCAAAAATAAATTACAGGGGAGAAAGAAAGAAACCAATCAATAATGGCACCAAAAAGGCAAGGAGAGTATATAAAATATAATCCTTCACCTATCCAATGAACAATCCCAGTTGGGGTAGTAAAGTAATTTCAACTTGGCTAAGCTGTGACCATATCCGGCCCATTTAGTGCAGCGGCATCTGCCAGTCTCTTCCAATTCAATTCCCGCAGCTCTTCCACCTCTTTGGCTTTAGCCTCTTTCTCCAAATACTGCCTCTGGCACTCTTCAAACAAATCAGCATCCATTTCGAGGAACATTTTTCTAACATTCACCGTCAACCCGTTAACGGCCTGGTTCCAATGACTCTGGACATTTTTCTCCAATGCTTCGAATATAATGGGTAGTATTACAGTCCTGTTTTGGGCTATTAAACCGACAATGTGCTCATTATTCCACAGAAAGAGGGCTCGTTCTGCAACCTGCATCATAAATGTGCCTAAGCATATAGACTTTTGAAAGGATAATTTAACTAGATACAATAGATGAAGTAGAATGGATTTTTTTTTAATAAAATCAATGTTGAGCAATCAGGATTCTCGATCCAATCCAGTATGCTAATTATAACCTGAGATATATATTTTCCAAAAACAAAATGTTCGCATGGTGCTCTTCTAAGCCCGAGTTTACTATATGCAGGTCAACTTAGACCCGAACTCAAGCAGGGAGCATGAAGATCTGCTCTGAATCTTCTGATCCTTAAGGTCACTCCAATGACCCTCAACCTAATTATTATAAGAAAGGGAAATGCTCCATTAAGAAAGAAGGATATCGACTAGCCTTCCTCAAAATGTCACTAATCATGCATTAGGCCAACCTGATCTGGAATGATTGCCATTTTATTACTACACAAGGAACCCAAGAGGTCGGTCCTGGTTTTAATTTTCTGGACTCTCTGGTTTAAGGGGTCTGAATATCAGCTCAAAAGGCCAAGGAGAGTAAAGATAATAACCGGAAGGAAATTCTCAAACTAAAAAAACTAAGTAGAGAAACCCATATTGCACATTATTTTGGTTTCCATAAACTCTAGATGTTTGTGGTCAAGACCCATTAATGACCAAGATCAGATTTGGTATAGCTAAAAAAACAGAAGGAATTGAGTGATGCTAAACTCTGGGACAATGAAACAGAAGAACTGACTCGCCCCCTTCGTTCCTTGCTTTACCTTTACAAGCATCGCCCAACTTTTGTGTCCATTGACTAAATAAGAACAGTGAATGGAACTACATACAAGTTTTGGATAATAAGAAACCCCACATTGTCCACTGCTATATTTCTGGTCATATTGATTACTGCCAAGTAGGGTTGTGCAAAATCCACTTATAAGATATAAATCCATAACCATATTCAAATCCGTTCTAAAATATCCGAGTACAAGTTAATATTATCAACCGGTCATTTCTCTAGTGTATTTTACTTTTGGATTTAATTATTATCTGATTGTTATCCACTTTTCCAATCAGAGGTTGCAAGCAGAAGGATGCTTGATCATTATTGAAGTTAATACATTTATATTTAACAGTGGCAAAATGGTCATAGTTTCAAATCTCTTATTTCCTTTTTTCTAATAAAAAGGAATAGTATCTCTCTTCTACCTTCTGACAAAAACGTTTTAACGTTTTTATACTAATTATCTGTTTGGTGGAGCGTTAAGGAAAATATTATCACCAAAATGTCATTGCAGATGTGTGCTTTTGAGTGGTCAAACACCAAACCAAACACATACTAAATTCTCTTTTTTAATAATGACTAACAGATTCCTTCTGTTAATGGTTTGATCATTAGATATTTTCTCTGTTGTATTTTTTTAATTGTAATTTTCAACATGAAAACAAATAAATTATATCTAATATTTTCTCTAGTTTGATCATTAGATACCTTGCTTACTTTGTTTACTAGTTATAATATACTTTTCCCTTAAAAATATGTCTTAGGAAATAATTTTCTCATAATAATCTTAGAAAGCATACTTTTCCCTTAGTTATTAGTTATAATATACTTTTCCCTTAATAATCTTAGAAAATAATTTGTTTTTTAATGGAAAAATAACCGATTTTAAATATGAATTTCATAAATAACCATATTTAAAACCAAACTAAAAAAATTAATTGTTTTAAACCAGTTTTTATTTATAAGTAACTAGTTTAAAGAAAAAAATGGATTTGGTTATCAATCCAAATCCACATGAACAGCCCTACTGCCAAGCCACAGTAACAAAATGGCATTGAAAGTGTATTCATAGAAGCTCTATTCGAACAAACTGCTCCCATGAGTTACACACACATTTAGCAGTCTAACAGAGAGTATCAATTCATTAAGCATGGTACAAGTCTAATCATAATTCCATTTTCTCAACTCAATTCCAAAGAGGTACAAAACAAAGAGATGGTGTATTAGACATGTAAAGAGACCACTGAGATTTGATTATGCATATCCTTTTTTTCTTTTGTTTTAGAATTTGTAATTTTAGGGTGTGTTTTGCTAGTTTTAATTTGGTTTCCTGTTTTTAGAACCTTTTAAAGCAGTGGCGAAAACACACACATCTATAAGCATGGATACTTAAAGAATGGCGATGTACCGGTAAGCTCCCACTACTTGTGTTGCTCTCTTTTTATTTATTAGGTTAAGAGTAAAACTTGTGATTTTCTCATTTAATATTATAATATTATATTATTTATGCATTTTAATTTCTTTGTTTTGTAACTTATTTTGAACTTTTATTTTTATTTTGATGTTTTGCTATGATTGGAATAATTTAGCTCTCCAATGTTACATAAAAGAGCTAATGTTTTCATTAACATATCCATACCAAGTTTTAGGGAGACCGGGAATGCGCCAGAAGTATCTTCTCAACTATATCCAACATCACTAATCTTGATCGATCCAACTTCCGCTCCCCCACCGAGCATAATCACAGCATATTCACTCAAAACCTAAAGGCAATGGGTGTATGAGTCTTCTCTCTTATAAATTCAACATCTCTTTCATTTTTAATCGATAAGGACTTAATCACTCACACTTGAATCCAACACCAATCATTTGCAAGAAACCAAGAAACACTTGAGGGCTAAATTAAAAGCAAAACTTATTTGCATGTAAGCCAAAAACAACAACACCAACCAAGCATTTGTAAGAAACCAAGAAACAATAGTTTAAATGTGTTCAATGCAAAATAGAATGCAAACACATGGTTGAAAATTTATTACAATCAAAAGAACCTTATCGAGAACATGTTAAGTGAAGTATGAGATGAGTTGAAAGAATGACTCGATAGCATTCAAGGTCCTGATTTATTGGCTCAATTGCAGTGTCCTCCTGATTCAAGAAATTCAGCATTTTCCCTCAGATTAACAATATAAATTGCAATGGTTCACTTATGATCCAAATCAAGGATTGGTTTTGACAGTTCGGGACTCACATAGACACTGATAATTATTTGAAAAAATCAATGTCGCGGTGTTGAATATGCCTTATATCAGAATTTTATTTGCTTCCCAAACTTGGAAGTTATACTTATAATAAATCACAGCATTAATTGAAGGTAGGGTTTTAGTCTCAGTAAATCCCATCATAAATTTTGAGATATATTCTTTGTTCAAAAAATTAAACTGCAAATAGTGTGCTAAATTTCTTGCTCTGGTGCAGACCTTCAGCAGCAAATTTAGAAGTATTTTAGGTTTTGGGGATGAAAGAGTAAGACTTGGACCATCAAGAACATCTCTAGTTGACCAAACAGCAACAACCAACAGCTTTCGTATCTCATATTAAAATTACTTAAAAAGACTTAACCATTAGGCCTAGTAGTCAAACTACTCACCAGAATAGATTGACTAGATCATTTTCAGTGATTTCATTATTCATAAAAAACATGCTTCCCTCCAGGCCAAAGAGTAGCTACTAGAGCTCTTTTGTTACAAAAAAAGTGATTTTAGTATTTCATTATCGGGAGATTATGCTTTTGGTATTTTAAAGAAAGGCAAAAGTAGAATTTTATTTGCTTCCCAAACTTGGAAGTTATATTAATTCACAGCAACAATTTGCAGATAGGTCTGAAATCTCAGTAAATCCCATCATTAACTTTTAGATATTTCCTTTGTTTGAAATAGTGTGTGCTAAATACCTTGCTCTAGTGCAGACCTTCAGCAACAAATGTAGAAGTACTTAAGGTTTTGGTGATGAAGAAGTAGGACTGGGACCATCAAGGACATCTCTTGTTGACCAAGAGTCAACAACTTTCATCTATTGGATTAAAATTATTTAAAAAGACTCGAACTATTAGGCATAAAATTCTAGTGCAGACCTTAGCTTTCGATTTTGGTGATGAAAGGAGTAAGACTAACCAGATAAGATTCACTAGATCGCTTTCGGTGATTTCACTATTCGGAAAGACATGCTTCACTCAAGACCAAAGAATAGCTACTAGAGCCTGTTTGTTACTAATTATATAAAAAAATGTGATTTTATTATTCAATAATTTATTCAATAGCTACTAGACCAATGTTGTCGATGACAGAGTGCAGAAAATATAGTGGATTGTTCAAATTCCGCTATGCAATAAAGACTATAGTGCCACTATAGCCATTATTTGACAAAAATTTATACTAAATTTTGTATCACGGAGCAATAGCAGTTTGTCCGAATTCCACTACGCTATAACAGTATAATGCCACTATAGCTATTTAACAACACTGGTGGCAGTTATGTAACTAAATGTGAAAACAAAAAATCTGAAATCAAATAGGCCCTTAGCTTTTAATGATTCAAATTTACTAAGCCAACAATCTATAGACTCTTAAATATTGACGTGGGTTGTGAAGACTTTCCAGAAAACGAGTTCATTAAGGTTTTCTCTCCCCTAGCCCATTGATCACATAACTTGAACTTGACTGGCACAAGCAAATGTTAATGTTGAAGTATATGAAAATTCGTTCAATTTCTTATATCACCATGAGCATTGGACATGATTTGATGCAGGAGCAGTTGACCCACAACAATAGTCAGTCATGTTAAAATCAAATTTTAGTTTCAGGTTTACTGCCATTAAAGTATCATGCACCTCACCAAAAAAAGTAAATAACAATAGTGTTAATATTAAGAAAGAAATAAATCTAGAGCTCAAAGACATCTTAGATAGTCCAAAAGCCAAATGAAAAACTTTACTATGACAGTTACTAAAAATAACATTTACAATACAATTACTTACATAAGTCACGGAATATTTTGTTAAGCAAGGGTTGTAGACCATTTAATAGAGAGTCTCAATGTAGAGAGCCTTAAGTTATTTATTACGATCTTTGTTAGGATCTTACAATCCTTGTTATGATCCCACGATTTACGATATTTCTATACTCAAAACGATCTTAGGTGGCATCCCAAGTTTGACAACCATGGTAGAGATTATATACATAAGTAAATTTCATAAAGTAAATTGTAAAAAAATAGACATCAATTGAGTTTTAGTTCTACTTAACTATGGCAGTTCAACATTATTTGAGAAGGAAAAATAAAAATTAATAGACAAAACAACCCCTGCAAGTGACAAATGTATGTGATACGAAATTGTGTGTAACGATTTTTGCATTCGGTATGTTAGGATTCAAGATATCTATGAGAAAACATAATACCACTCAAGCTAGAGTGGCCGAAATGGAGCAGGGATGTCCAAATCAAAGAGGTTTGACAAGTCAAAGGTAAAATGTTTTAATTCTCAGAAAATTGGTCACTTTAAAAGAGATTGTCCTGAAAGAAAGGTCAATGAAGATTATGTTCAAGCTGTAGTTGCATTGAGTGAGGAAAATTATGAGGATGTCGAAGTACTAGTAGTATCGAGTTTGGAAACTGAAGATAGTTGGGTCATTGACTCAGGTTGCTCTTATCACAGTGTCCAAGAATAAAATACTTTGAAACTTTAAAGATGGTGCAAGGTGGAGTAGTTTGCCTTGATAATAATAAGGCATGCAAGGTTCATGGTATTGGTACGGTCAGATTTAAAATGTTTAATGATCGTGAACTTTTTATTCACAATGTGAGGTATGTTCCAGAACTCAAGCAGAATTTATTACCTATAAGTATGTTTGATGATCTAGGCTATTGTACTAGAGTTGAACGTGGAGTGTTGAAGATTTCGCGCGATGAATTGATTATTGCTAAAGGGTCTAAAATATGTGGTCTATATATTTTAGAAGGTTCAAATGTTATTATTCATTCAACGTTAACTAGTGAAGGCTTTCATGACAAGGAGGAGCTATGGGATTTGAGTTTAAGGCGTTATGAATGCTTTGAGAAAATTTCAGAGTACAATGAATTTTGCAGAAATCAAGGGATAAAAATGCATGTTACCGTTGAGTTGTTATTGAGTTTTTAGGGAAGAGTTGAGGTTAAAACAACTTACTTGGTTGGTAGAGAATTTCTTCATAAGAATAGTGAAAACCAAGGGAGAAACTATAACGGAGAAAACTCAGTTTGATGTGGAGTTTCCTACTATGGATGCTAGCAGTAATGAGGGAACGGTTACAAAGATCTCTAATTATCATTTGACTCATGATAAGGTAAAGAGAGTTATTGTAGCATCTCAAAAGGACGGTTATGCTAGCCTTGGATATTATGTTTTTAATGTGGCTGAAGGACTGCAGAATAAAAGAAGAAAAACCTTCAGGAAGGCATTTGAAAACAGATGGAGTCAAGGGTGGTTGAAAAATCAAACTTGTAGGCTTGTTAAATTACCTAGGCAAAAAAGGATAATTAGGAACAAGTTGATTCAAGTTGCGAGATCAAGATTCAAGGGTTGCTTGAATTTGATCAAAGTTATTGATTAAAGTTTCAACTTGGTAGAGAGCAGCAATGTTGTTGATTGTTAAATTGGTATCAACACGGTTTAAAGTCAAGGTGGAGATTGTTGTAAATGTGCCTTAAAACCTTTGTTGATGAAGAGAAAGAAAACATATTTTAGAGATTGCATTTACCGCAAAAATCGGACGAAAAGTCGGGAAAAAAAATCGGCCAGTGAATAGTGCTACCCGTATGGATGAATAGTGATGCCCTGTACGATGAATAGTGTTGTCCGTACGGTGAATAGTGTTTTCGAATTTTCGGCTTTTTTCAATTCGGTTCATGGATTCATGTGATTTTGGGCTTTGTTTATTGGGTATTTGCTATTATAAATATATATCTCTTATATGCTTGGCGTGTGATAATCTTAGAGTTTACACCAACAAGAAGAGTAAGGGTTTAAAGGCATATCATAGGGTTTCAGCTATTCACAAGAAAAACTTTGGGTAGAAAATAGAGTTGTTCTTGAAAACCTGAAGGCGAAGACTATTTTCTTGTAACTCATCTTTAATCTCTTGTAACAATTTAATATAGTGAATTGGAGAGTTGTTCTCTCCCCCAGAGTAGATCGTTTGATTGAACTGGATAAGCAAACCTTCGGTTTTTTCTTACCTTATTCTGTTATATTATTTGTGTACGGTTGAATACCATTTATTTTAGTTGCTATTGTTCTTTGTCTCACAAATTGATATTAATTTTGTCGTAATTCATAACAAGATTTAAACAGTGAAAAATAAACTTAGGTGATTTGGGCATATAGAGAGAAGACCTATAAATGTTGTGGTAAGGAGTAGATTAGATGGAGAGGAGTCAAAAAGTTAGAGATAGAGGAACACCTAGAAAAACTATAAAAAAAAGTTACTAAAAAAAATCTAGAGATTAACGATTTATAGATGAGTATGGTCCTGAATAAAACATTATGACAGAAGTTGATCCATGTAATCAATCCAATTAGTGGGATAAGGCTTGGTTGTTGTTGTATAATATATCTTCTCGTATTAATCGATAATGATAAAACATAGTTATTTTTGTTTTCTCTTCATCCACAAACACATCATCATTAAGGAGCAAAACTATAACTGAACTATCCACAAAACTAAATAAAAACTAGGTAACCAAGTTTGGGACTAATACTACAACCACATCAGAGTTTGGGACTTGAAGGAATCGTCAGCTGAAGTTTACTAACTAAGCAACCAAACCTTATATTAAGGTTAGGTCATTAATATTATACCATATAAGGGCCTAGTATAGATCTAGCATACCAAGAAAGTAACAGTTCAACAAGAAGCATTGCAAATTTATAACCCGATTATCCAAAGAAAAAGGAAAATAGTAATTAAAAGAAAAAGGCTTGGAATAATTCTACTCAATCAACATCATGAAAAACCATATTCTGACAAACCTGAAAATGTGGACTATTGAGACAGCGAGCAATCTGTCTAAAAAGAAGAACCATGCAGCGCTGAAACTCTGCGGCTTGCGTAGCCTCCAGCACCTCCTCCAGTTCCCCGAGAAACAGAACTTCCTTCTGGCAATTGGTGACGGGCCAGTACTTCAACAAACCCCTAATAACAGTATCCGCTAACTTAAAATCCTTCTCGACAAACTGAGAAATGCAGTACGACAACTGCTGATGGTACACAGATACGGGTTTAGGTTTATGCAAAGGCAACAATGCCCTCACAAGAAATAATTTATGCTCCTCCTTCATGGGCAAAGCAAACCCATTAATAATGCTCCCAAGAATCTCAAGAAGCTCCATAATCCCACTATGTCTCTCAGTCTCATATATAAACCGATAAAATATGTTGTTAATAGCCTTCCTAATATAGGGTCTATGAACCATAAATTTCCCATACACACGATGCAAGATAGTTTTCACATACTCACGTTCTCTAGGATCCTCAGAATCAAACAAATCAAGCAATTTAAGCACAAATGAATGATCAATGTAACGTTTAGCTACCTTAGTATCAGTATCAGACGAAACCACATATCTAAGGAGAAGCTCATAAACAAGCTGCAAATGAGGCCAAGCCGGTTCCAAGCAAGGTTCCTCCTCTTCCGGATCTGTAGCATCCTGTCCCGTGTTCTCGTGAAATGCCGGCGGGAGACACCGGAAAATATTCACCGACACCATTTTAATCATCTCTTCTTGACAAATCTCCGTTATCTTACTCGAACTAGATTGAATGAATTCAACCAATTCCATCAAAGTCTGTCTCTTAATTTCCTTCTCCCGAACTGATTTCATCGTGTCGGTGAAATCCAACGTGTGGCAACAAATCTGAAGCTTCCGGATAAACAAATTCTGTCTCTCAGAAACCGGTACATCACGGAACAACGGAAGCGGTTCGATTTTTCCAGACGGCGGAGGAACGACAACAGCCGCCGATTGAGTGACGTCGTTTGCCGGAGGACCGTATCCATCGTTAGAGTCCGATTTGGAGGGCTTCTTCTGCCCTCCCTTCATTATTCTCTTGAACATTTTTTTCAAACCCTAACCTAACCCTAAGCTAAAAAATCAGAAGTGATTGTTGAAGAGGAAAGCTACGACGTCGTAGAGTGCTACTCTGCCACCATTTTCGCATCACAGCTTAAACGACGATGGATCTGAGGTGATTGGGTGGTCACCGAGGGTTGGAGTGGTGGTCAATGATCGGAGTAGATTACCGGAGATGTGTTCCGGCGATCAAATGATTGGTGAATACATAGAGAGCGTGTGTTTGTGTTTGGGTTTGAGTTGCGATAGTTTTGAGTTGTTTTTTTGGAGTAAAATTGAGGAGATTATTAGACAGATGCATATTGGTGTAAAGGATATCAATGGATAATGCATTACAAAATTACAATTACAAACAATGAATTTCAACTTCAATTTCTTTGCTATACTATTTTGATAAATGATTGGAATATATTTATATCACATATTAAATTTCAATAAATGTTTTCTAGACATATATTTGAGTATCATCTATCTATATGGTTTTTTAATGGATAAACTCTTAAATAATCATCATTTTGGTTGAGTATAAGTATCTCTAGATATTATATATTTAACATTTAATTTATTTTAAAATAAGTTATTTTAAAATCTACATAGATTTGTAAAGAAATGGTGATCAAAATGGGTATCATAAAATCAAAATGGAGGAACACTTATGTATTATATGTGTAAATAGTCTATTTGGGATTATATGATCAATTTTCTTTAAAATAACACACTTTGTAAATAATTTAATGCATATAATCAATCAATTTATCAATTTTAATCTTCTTTATTTTTTAATGCATTTATTAGGATATTAGTTCAACACCTCAAACACTCCAATCTCTTTAGAATAGTTAAACATACTTCAATCTCTTTATAATAGTTAAGGAACTTATAATTGAGAAGCAGGGTTTCTTTCTCGACGTAATCACTTGAGAAAAAAAGAATCATTATTATGGATTATTAGTTGATTTTCGACTAAACTTTCACAATTCGACAACAAATTTGGCATGTTTCATGGAGCATTACGTCTAATGTCACTAAATTTTCAAACATCGGGTCACGATTACACTTAGCGTAAGCATGCACGATATGGAAAAAGCCTCATTAATATGGATCAACCATCACTACCATCCAAAAGGAAGTAAGGCCTACAAAAATTAGATGAGGCTTCACAATCAACGGGAATGTCAATTGTTCCATTCTAGAGCCAAAATTGTTGGTGCAAATCCTTAATGTGGTGGCTCATATTGCTCTGGTGCGGTTGTGCGGGGTGGACCTACAAGGTTAGCCCTCAAATGCCCAAGTCAGTATTTGAATAATGGGGATATAGTGAGTTATGAAAGAAGTCATATTTTTTCGCATAAGTGGTGGTATTTATGTGGTGGGTGAAATTGGGCATGAGACCGACCCAAAATAGTCCCCCCCCTAAGGCTTATTATATTGTGGTGTATGAGAAGTCTTCCAAAAGTTAGATCGGGTACATCTAGTTGTGATCCCATGTTGAGAAGTGGAAAAGGTCCGGAGACAATCTCATTAAATGTCCATATAATCATTAAGATGTTTCCAGGTTACTTTGTGTGTGGCCCTAGGTTTACAGGTTAGGGTGTGGCGCTTCTGCCAATGGCATTCGAGTGCACTCAAACTATTATATTTTTTAGGTGTCATTTGAAGCGTTAGTTTTTTTTACCTTCCCCTTATTTTTGTTATGTGATGTCGATTTGTTTATCCCTTTTATTTTATAATGGCCGCTTTGGCATTTCAAATAACTTTTTGTTCACTCTCATACTTTACCTTGTCATTCATATGACCTCTTTCTCCTTCATCTTCCACATTTTTGTGATTCTTGTTTCCAGCTACCTTCATTTCTTGTTAAGCCTCTCATATTGTCAAACTTTCCATGTTTTTACTACTTTCTTCACTTCATCTTCTTATTCATGTACCATTCTCTACCCATTTTCCTTTTATTTAATGTTTTATCCTCCTTTAGAAATTACCATGGCTAACCTAGGAGATACATCTGAGAACATAAATGAAGTTGATGTGAGGATTCTCCAATACCAATCATTTATGAGAATTCTAATATCCCACATGGTGAAACTTTGGAAATCAATGGTCCTAACCCCAATTTTGTTGTTTTGAGTGATAGTTTTGGGTTTCGATGAGGGTTAATTGAAAGCAGAGATGATCCTCTTATGTCTTCTAAAGGGGATTGAGAGGGAAACTCTTGTATTCCAACTTATATGGGAGTGATTGATCGCCCTGCCTCCTCCCTTCAATCCTACAACAAATTCTATGCGGCCATAATGGCCCAAGATGAGCGAAGAGACTTCTACTTTGCTGAATATTTTATGGCAGCGTATGGGGGGTCTACTGATGTAGAAATTAGGGACCACCTTACCTTTAGGAGTAACTACCTAAATTCAAACTAGCATTATCTTTTACATGATAGTTGGGGGAAAATGGTAAGACAAACACATTTTCTATTTTGTCGGTGTAAAAAAGGCGGAGGAAGCTTATTAGAAGTGGGGCCTTCTTTGGATTGGCCTTTTCACATATTAATGATGACAAAATGATTTGTAGCTCTTAGTTAAGAAATTTGGGAAATATTTCATTTTTAAGTTTTTAGTATTTTCCATATCACATGCCTCTGATTGATATCGACCAATATGTTTGATACTAGATTTGCTAGTAATGCCTGCAAACTTAGTGAACTTAGGGATTTTCCAACCCCTTGGGAGTTCAGTCTGCAATACATACTCAAACAAGGCAGAAATAAAATTTGGCCTATGAAGACCAATATTAAGACCATTTTGGGCTAGGATTTGTTCAGCCATATTGGCTATGTTATTTTACCCCCACCCCCAAATTATTTAATTGGATTCCTTTAACCACTTAGTCTACATCCTGATTCATATTGACCAACATTACCTATGATCCATTTTGACCAAAATTCCACTCGACTACCCTAGGTATGAGTTATTCGACAAGTTATGGCATAACCCTTTGTTGCATTTGATTATTAATAAAACATTCACTGTTTACAACTCCTGGATGTTAACTTGCCCTGATTGCTTGGGGAGCACCAAAGAAATTAGTAATTCGGCCCATTTGATACGCCAATTATTGGTAAGTATGGTTTGTGTTTTGGATTAGAGGGTTAAACACATTACCAATTTTTTGGGTAAGCATATTTACCATGTCATGGTTGTTATCATCCATTTGTTGCCTCATAGCCAAGAGAGAACTAGTAGTTAAGGATGGTATAACCCGAGGGACATATCCTAATTCTTTTTGGGGTTGTACCATTCGAGTAGGATTGCTGATAGCAGATCCTAATGCTAAGTATTGGTTAAGAGGATATGCAATAGTAATTGCATTATCGGCATACATAGATGCACTAGTTTGTAGGCCTGTCATCATTGTAGTTGGCATGTTATATAGGTATTCCCTACTACCAGAGGGAAGCGTAAAACTCAAAAGAAAAGAATATATATAGTCTCCTATAGTGGTTTGTGTAACCTTAGGAGTAGTTGGAAAACTGGTTATTTGTGGCGAGGTAATTACCAACTCTAGAAACATTGTTGAAACTGGCGTTTGACTTATAATCGAAGCGGTTACTCCAACGAACGTTGAAGTTCCTACACCACCAACTGTCAATTTGATTGGTTGTTTTTGTACATTTGGAGTGTTGTTCTTAGGAAAGGAATAATTTTTTGGAATTGAATGAGTCATCTCAACGAGATTTTTACCACTCCTCAAATGCATAAATACTCATACATTAAAAACATTGCATGTATGAAGAACAAAACGGTAAAAACAAAAACATTTATTAGGTAAAAGTTTAAATTTTTCGCACAAAACGGTCTCACTAGGTGTGCCAATTTGTTTACCATTATTTTGGCAAGTTTTTCCTTAAACATTAGTTCTACATGAAACAGCCTGAAGATTTTGTAAAAGATAAGGCTAAGGTATGTTTATTGAAGAAATCTTTGTATGTGTTGAAAAAAGGCCAAGGCAGTGATATCATGGTTTGATGAATTTCTTATTAAATATTGTTGTGTAAGAAGTAATTCTGACAATTGTGTTGAATATTAAATAGGAATGAAAAAGTCATTCTCTATCTTCATCTATATGCAGATGATATTTTAATGGCAAACTCTAACAATATATAGATCTGCAAGCTCAAAGATATCTTAAATGGTTAATTTGAGATGAAAAATCTTGGTAAAGATAAAAAGAACTGTAGGTACGGATATCATGAGAAGCCGCAAGATGATTGAAACATTCTTATCTCAATCTAGTTACTTGAAGAAAGTGGTGGAGCAATTTAGAATGAAAGATTCTAAAGTCGTTAACGCTTCTTTGATTCATCACACAAAGCTTCTGATTAAGAAACTTCCTCAAACCAAGAAAGAAAATAAGATCATGCGGAGTACTCCCTATACAACTGGGGTTGAAACATTATGTATGGTATAGTTTATAAATTTAGCATATGCACTCAATATAGTAAGTTGGTTTGTGGAAATTCCTGACCAGATTCATTTTGAAGTTTTAAAGTGGATGTTTATCTATTTGAATGGTTCTCTAAAGAGTGATTTAAAGTACACAAAGTCAGTCCAGAGGAAGACTCTTTGGTGAGTTTTTGCATATTTAGACTATGTGGGTATTGTGGACACTAGAAAATTCCTATCAAGTTTTATGTTTATATTGTGTCGGGCATATATAAGTTCTACGGAAAATCAATAAACATTGGTTGCATTATCTACTACTTAAGTGGGATATATTTTCATTTTGAAGAGGTCAAGAAATTCATATGGTTGAAAGGCATGTTAGGGATAACTCAAGAATGTGTAGAGATAAATTATGATAATCAAAGTGACATTCACTTGGCCACTTATAAAGTTTATCATGAAAGGATAAAACACATTGATATATATATTTACACTTTATTTGGGACATGATAAAGTCAAAGGAGATTCAAGTTCATAAAATTCAAA